AGTAGTAGTAGTAGTAGTAGTAGTAGTAGTAGTAGTAGGTAGTAGTAGTAGGTAGTAGAGTAGAGTAGTAGAGAGAGAGAGAGAGANGAGGAGAGAAGAGAGAGAGAGAGAGGCATAGAGAGGAAGTCAGGAGGCCTAAACAGTTAGGTTGGTGAGAGGGGTGCTTTAGTTGGAGGGAAAATATATTTGTTTCTTTGTTTTCGTTCTATTTTCTTAGAATAACATCTTCAAAGTAAGACTTCGACGTCCCAAATAGGGGCTACTGTTTTTGGACTTTGAACTTTTATGAAAGAAGAGCAGAGCTTCTTCTTCCTCTTGGCTTTACTTATAGCCACTTGTTTCCGGGACCCTTTTCACATCGAAGAGATTGATTGTATTCTTCCTCTTGGCTTTATTTACAGCCACTTGTTTCCAGGGCCCCTTTTTCATCAAAGATATTGATTGTATGAAGTTCTTATGATCAATATAGGATTGCATGCGGAAAATTCGTTACCAAGGTCATACTTTATGGGGAGTAAGTGCTGTTGATGTGTTGTAGCGCGTGTGGAAGGAGTGGAGTAACATGGCCTATGTATTGAGGTTTCCGTCATCAAAAGATCACATTAGGTATGGCATAATAAAGTGGTTCATAGCTGTGAATCCCTGACTTTGGGACCTCAATTCTCATCAACGACTGGAGAATAGTTGCATTCAGGTTGTTGTCTCATGACCATTATCACTTTGAGGCTACCTCCTAGTGGCTTGGTGAAGTTGAATGTTGATGGCAGTTCATATTGTAATCTCTGACACACTGTTATTGTATTTGCAAGCCTGCTTTGAGGCAGAGGCCTACTCTGAACATTTGCCCAAATAATATTTGATGGATTGTTGATGGGGATTTGTCGCTATATTGAGGCAGAGGCGTACTCTTGTGACTCATCCTTCTCGAGCCCCACCTTAGTGGTTAGAGATTGCTTGAGCATAATTGGATTGGCAATATGAGTCGTTGCCCCATCTTGTGATTAAGTTTTGGTGTTATCTTATTTTCCTATTCCCTTGGACAAAAGAGTTTATGTAGTTTTTGCTTTTTTATCGCTTTCAAACTTGTCACTATTCATTGCGTTTGCGTGCCAAGTAAACATGTTATTTGTTCCTAGGTTTTCTGATATCTCAATAGAGATTTTTGTGGTACTTGCCATGGTTATAATTGCCTTTCCTGTTCTAGTTCTGGTATGTGTGAGCCTTTAGCATATTGCTTGAGGGGCTTAATTGATCTAAAATCATGTTTCATGTAGCTGCTCTATTTTGTGATGCATTCATGTACCGTGAGTCTCAGAGGAACTATTCTTTATTTCTTTTGGGTTTTGTATCTTTCAATTTAATCATTAAACATCGCGTGCTTCTGTACAGAGATTCCAAAAATGTGAATATGCGAAGTCCAAACTGTTCAAGACCGAAGGTCGAGGTTGGGGTCTCTTGGCAGCTGAGGATATTAAGGTACATTAGGCTAAGAGATATTGCTTGCATCCATTTCACTCATCTTTCAAGAGTCTCCCTTTTTTAACATGGTTGGAGTAGTTATAAATGCCGAAGTGTGATTGTGGCGGTTTTTATTGAAGAACTGTTAACATTATTTGGACAAGTATGTTGCCTATGCTGTTGAAGACTTGGAGTGGTTGGACTGAAATTTCCTAAACTCCATTTGGATATTTTCCTCCAACCAAGTCTTTCTGTTTACATTTGAAAGAAAAGTCATAACAATGCTTATGAAACAATGACCAATCTACAATACAAATACAACTAATTTCGAAACATGGTTTCACTAAATTATATGCACATCAAGATTTGTATAAGGTGCGCACCTTATACTATACAAGTAAGCATACCTCTAAATTTTGCTGGATGATATAGTTCTGGTGTTGGAAACGTCACGATGGCTTGAAAATTGATTGTCAACCATCATCATCATCCGAACCTTATCCCAACTATTTGTGGTCGGCTACACGATCCTGTTCCGCCAAACAAGATAGGTTCATTCATGAAAGACGTGGCAAAGTTTTATGCTGGCTACCCTACCTAATACAACCCTCCTCCTTTATCCGTGCTTGGGACCCGCATATGACCGGCTTGGAACCGGCCATAGCGGAGTTCCATTTTGAACCTTCATTATGAAATTTAAATTCCAAAATCGGTGTAGATTGAGATGATATATAAATATTAAAACTTCTTGAAAAATAGACAGTCTAGATAACTTATTATGAGATGTACTATTTTTAACACTTTAATTCGTTTTATCTTCATAGATAAGAAGACTCATTTCTACTAATTCTGTAGTATAAGGTTGCAACCTTATATAGACCTTTTCCTTCTAAATATATTTTACTTTATGAGAGAGATATCTATTTTCTTGTGATGGATCTATTGTTCCGTTGTGTGGGAAGGAGGGAAATTATCCTCTCTATGGCCTCTTTCTTTCCATTTCGGCACTCGTGGATCAAATACTAATGGAGTTCTTAGTTCCAATGAATCATAAGTAACCTTCCTATTTCCAGAATAGTTCCAGACTACCAGTAAAAACATGCTTTATAGAAGCCTAAACCATCTTTCTTTGAAACTCTGACGTGCGTCTGTTCACAGATTTTCCCAAAATTGTTCAGACTTTCACAAGCTACTTTGGATACAAACTATAGTTGGACTTGATCATTGTATATGTGTCCTTCTGTCCAGCATGGAATGCGTTCAGCTTTAGACTGTGTAATAAACATCTGATGACCTCGTGATTGTTTTGTGTTTTATGCAATGTGTTTCTATTGATTAGCATGTCTTCTATTGGCTGGAATCGTTGCATGTTTTCCCTTTTGTCTACATTGTTTATACTATTTGTTATGCCTCTCTAATGGACCCCCTATCAGCCACAATCTGGAGGAAGTGAAAGAGGGAGCTTATGGCTACCGCTACAATCCTCTATAGATGCTTTGGCTGCTGACATGACCACTTAAAGATAATCGTAGAGACACTCTCCCTCTGTTTCTTTGTGCAGGGGTAGGATTGTATCACGTGCCCACATCTCCGTCTCTGTCTCTCACTCTCTCTCTCATAGCCATGTGAAACTGCCTGATCATAATTCGCACCTGGTGTTGTAAATGGGTCGTCCAAGGGAGTTTGAAATCTGAAACTTGTAAATGTTATCAATAAACTGAAAGTCGTTAGTGAATAAAAACCCGAAAATGGTCCTCTAATTTGGTCTCTCTCCCATCCGAGACTATTGTTGAATGATTGTGTTATCAATCAGAACCAGAGAATTTAGACATTTGAAAAATTTATCCTTAAGCAAAATAACTTGGATTTTCTTTGCTATCTTAGATTCCCTTTTTTTGCAATTGTGGATATGTCATCTTCAGAAATGATATTTGTCCATTTTAATAACTTGTTCAGGCTGGGCAGTTTGTAATTGAATATTGTGGGGAAGTAATTTCTTGGCGAGAAGCAGTGAGAAGGTCCCATGCTTATGAAGCAGAAGGTATATTTCTATTTCAATCAGATACCTCTTTTCTGGATGTTTTGAAAATTATTTATATGTTGATGTGGCTACATGACAGGGTTGAAAGATGCCTTCATCATATGCCTCGATTCATCTGAATCGGTTGATGCTACTAGAAAAGGAAGCTTGGCACGTTTCATCAACCACTCGTGGTAGGATTCATCTAGTGATTTGGAGTGGTTAACATTTATCATGCTCATGTTGATTTCTGAATATCGATGGATTGGAGAATATCTGATTTTGATATGGAGATAGAATTTGTTTGCCCTTGGTGATAGCAGTGTATTATATATTAAGGAGTTGGATAAATAATCATTGTGTGCAGTTATTTGTTTGTTATGGATTCATACTTTTGATTAATTGATACCATGTGATATTAGACAATCTATTGTTAATTTGTTTGTTAAACCGTGTTATAGTGATCTGATGCTTGATTAATGAATTAATTGAAGAATACAGTGAACCAAATTGTGTGACAAGGAAGTGGACGGTGCTAGGAGAAATAAGGGTTGGGATTTTTGCTAAAAAAGACATTTCAGAGGGTACAGAACTCGCGTATAATTATAATTTTCAATGGTTTGGTGGTGCTAAGGTTCGTTGTCTATGTGGAGCTGCTTCCTGTACGGGGTTTCTTGGGGCAAAGTCTCGTGGATTTCAAGTGAGTCTTTACTTTTTATTATTGCCTACATAAAAGTATGCATTTCTTTAATTTGGTTATTTTGCTCTTATTCCATTTTGAAGATGCTCTCTAGTGAATCACATTAAGATGCCTCCTTTCAGTTTCTGTTGGTGCATTATTTATGGTTCTCTGGTGTTAATGCATGTTGTCCTTCCGTTCACAATCACTTTCCAGTATGATGTTTTCTCAGTAGTTGGGCAGCTGTTTTCGAGATTACCATGCATCTTTTGCAGTCACTTTAGTTACATTTTATAACAGTCAATATCAGTAAGACGGATGTTAGGTGTTCTCGAAATATCAACCTTTTTTTGAATTTATTTCTATTTTTAATATTTGTGTGTGTGTGGTGGGGGGGTGGGGGGGGGGGGTAAGGGGGGGGTGGGGAGGGGAGGGGGAGGGGGGAGTACGGCGAGTCGAGGCGAGGTGGGGAGAGTGGAGGTGGTCGTACCTTAACGTTTCTTACACACTCCGAACGTAACTTC